TCGTAGATCCAGTACTAACTTCGTACGTGAGGCGACAAATAATTAAAAACTCTTATTTCTCTAAGCTTTTAACGAAATTTCCAAAAAACTAGATTTCTGAAATCTTGCTGCCGAATAGCCTACGACAAAAAAAAAAACGAAAATATTAGGGTTAAAACGGCTGGATTGTAAATGACGGAGAAAGTTTTGAAAATACAAAATAGTTAAATTTGAATAATTAAGTGGATATTTTACGAAAAACGGATGGCAGTAAAACATTATGCCAACTTAAGTAAGACTAATTGCTTATTATTGCCTTCAAAAGCACGCGGTAGTTAACTTCGTGTAATTTTGTCATTCTTCTTTTTGAAAAGTCATAACAAACTGCATCCAAATATATTTCAACATGAAAACAGTAAAAATCAATATGTGGATGAATTTTTTTGCCTCTTAAACATCCTTAACCGGCGCGTTCAGGTAATACAATTTCTATCTTAGAAAAACTCTTTTTTTGAAATTTCAAGTGAAAGCTTGATAAGTAAGTCCATGGGTGAAGGACACGAGCACATATGAACTCACTGAAGTTTGCTTCAGAAACGTCACATAAAATATCCTGCAGGTTTATCTTATAATATCTTGGCAAGCCAATATCTCAGTGGATTGCATTAATCGAAGAGGTAAGCTTGACCCCGACGGAAGTTCGCTATTTTTATATTGTAAAATAAGTTCGCCTATTTTGAATCGTTTTATCTAATATATTGTAAATCTTAGAAAACAAATGTTTTGCTAAATTACTTTGTTAGTTAGTGATTGCTTCTAGTAATGGGAAGAAGGATGAGGTCGATAGCGGATAATAAAGCCACCGGTTTAGTTATTATTATTATTCTTAGAAAATAAGTAACTGCTTTTATCATCATTAGCTTTCCCCTAGCTAAGGTTTTGAGTTTGCTGAACGATATAGGTTTAAAACAAGAAAAAATAACAAGAACAACCTAGTATTAAGCAAAACTTGACTTTGTTTACTTCGATTTGCCCCTGACGTCCTCTGACGACCTGTCACGGAAGAAATTATTAGTGTATTTTAGCCAAACTAAATCTTTTGTTAATTCAGAAGTCCGTTGGGCAGGCAGCAAGGTAGCTACCAAAGCGCCTGTTTTCCTTGCAAATCAACGATAGCATCAGTAGTTATAGAAATTGCATTCAGCTATCACGCAGGATGGGTGTTTAGTCCGGATCTTAAATTGCACAGTTGGTGCTTAATTGAATAGACCCAAATAAGTTAAACTAAGGCTGAGCGTGCAGCACAAAGGCAGTATCGTTTGAAGCAGTTCTGATTAATAAAAAGGGTATTATTCTGGGTTACACTGATACCCTACATGTCGATAAAGACATCAGCAAACATTTTAAAAGTGCTGACAAATAATGTGGTACATTAAACTATCATAACGTATTTCAACGATTACACTCGTGCTACCGTGCTATAATCGGATTACAGCAAATCCAGCATTCACATTTCGTGTGAAGATCTCGCACTATGTACAGCCGGCGGGTTCTATCTCACCATTGAAGCTGGCTTTTGCTGGCGCTGAAAAGTTAAATGGTGGCCTTTAGATGAGCTTGAGTGTTTTTTGGTGATTTTGCTCATTTTCTTTCAAAGTCGAAGTGAGAAAATAAGTAGGTGTTACTGTGAAGCAAAAAAACACTGTTTAACAGATGGTTTCGACAAAATAAATGTACACAACGTAAAACTGCTAAGATGTGTCACGTTTCCCACCATGCAGTCGCCAACGTTGCTAGAAAACTGAGGGAAAACTTCATGCTGCTGTGGCACAAAATTAATATTAACAATCAAAAAAGGTGTACTACGAATGGAGGATCATGCTATTATTCATGAATTTCAAGAAAGTAAATTCGTCTCATATAATGTCCGTCTGAGCGAACTGAAAGTTGAATTGAAAATCACGTTTCGCCGCCGATTCACAACGGCTAAGACTTGCTAAGGAACTTTTGTCAAATGCTTGAATTAAATGATCCCGTTTTGATTGGGTAATCAAAATCGAAAATTCTAAGATCCTTGAGAACCGAGAAGAACTTGTCTACTGCTTAGACAAATCCCATTTTGAAATTCTTGGAGAAAGCGCCCATTAAGCCTTCAGATATATCGAGCAGCGATTTTTGGAAAACTGCCTCGCGCGAAAAGTAAGACATCCACAAGAAATTTTTGACAAGGGCCCTGGTATGATACATTTTGCACAAGGAATACTAGAGAAGAAAGAAGGTGCCGTCTCATGTGTGAGAATGATTCCCTAAGGGTCCCTACGCTTTCATGCACGATGAGATGTCTTGTCACAGAGCTCGAAGAATTTTTTTGCCAGTGACGATCAGGTATCACCATGCCCTGCTACTCTGGTAAAGCTTAATTCCATCGAGAGCGTTTGGAGAACCGTGAAATCACTAATTCGTGAAAGACAGAAAATGACAAACGTTCTAAACCTTCATGAAATAATTACTAATGTATAACAACAGGATCTACACATGGATGAGAAAAACTGCATCAGAAACATACCCTAAAGTAGGTCAACAGTTATCGTAGCAAAAAGCGGTGTCATAAAATACTGATCCTTGCAACTATATCACATTGTTTGTCGGCAATTCATCGATTAGTCTATCCGCGTATAAAATACTAGTCTAAAGTAAAATAATCCCGCTTTTCCAATCTAAAGATCACTTGAAAATATATCGTTTTAGTTCGAAGTAATTGATCTTGAACCTTAAAACAATTTGATTGAATACCGACTGTATCCAATATAGGGTGTGAAATATGAATTGGAACCCTTTTACGATTTGTCTAAAACTATTTTTAAATGAAAAAGATAGTTCAGCAAAAGTTTTTCCATAGGATAGAATAAACACGGCTGTCAGAAACCTTATGCTTCCTGACAATAATGTTTATTCAATATAACTGCCATTTATTTACGGCTTCAATTCGAGTTTTAAATCGCTTACGAACTTGTTTTAAAATGTTCGTTTTGCAATTATGCAACGGTCTTCCTGAAATTACCGTGTTATCATCTTGAGGCTTCCTGGACTCTCGTTCAATAATGTTCAATATATAGTGATCCAACGTGCTCAAATCAGGGCTATCCGGCGGCCATTAAAGCTCATTCCAGAACATGCTCGTTTTCTCAAGTAGCTAACCCTGTGCTTGTCGGCTTATATGATATATATGGCATTCGTCAGACACTTCAGCTGTCCGTGGTGGCACAGCAGCTTGTAGAACACGTAGATAAACTTCTTTGGCGACGCAGTAGCCTGTCTGAAAAAAACATGGCGGCATGACATCTCTTTTACTAGACACAACACTCAGAATATGAACTTAGACCAGAAATTTTCTTTGCCCACAATAAGCACTTGCCCTGAATCGTAAACAAGGCGGCCATTATTTCTGCAGTTCATGTTTGTACCAAGGGTGTAAAATTTTTCGTCAGAAAAGAATCGGAGACAACTTGCTGCTTCATTCTTGAAAATTTTTTTTAAACAAACAGCTAATCAAATCTCTTCGTTCTGTTGTCTCCAGAAAGCAGCTGTCTGATTTCTATGATACACGATGCGTACCTGAGGTTTCAATAAATAGTCCCTAATAACATATGCTTACTCACTTCAAATTTCTTCATTAACGCTCCGATAGAAAGAGAAAAGTAATTAAAAGTGCATTCATGGATACTAGGGGTTAATTGAAATCCACACCGTTTTTCCTGCCGTGCATTTTCCGTTGCGCCGTACTGAAGCTTGCTTCTGCTTCCGCATATTTGTTTGCGGCGCTGTACACTGTCGATTTGGGGTAACTCAGGAGATTTACTATTTCGATGGGGGTTCGTCTAGCGCTTAAAAATTAGATAACAGCTGATCTTAGTTCAAATTCCAAAAACGACGCACTGTTGTTCACTACGGCGAATTTATTGCAAAAGAAGCTGACCTTCGTCTGATATCAGGAGCAGCGGCTGAACACTTGCGCACTATGAAAAACAGTCCCCTAACGGTTACCTCAATATAGGTTTTGCACCCTGCACATACATTTTATATACGAAAGATACATTTCCAAAGTTAGTCGTAAACTATAGGCCTATGATATGAAGTTGTACAGCCCCTAACGCTGAAAAAAGAAAATAACCTGAAGGCGACCAGTTTAAGTTCGGATCGATTTATTTAGACTAGTATGCTGCTATGGATTCTTAAGTGGTGCTGTACTCTAGCTTGGATTCACACGTTTTTTTTTTAAATTTTACTAAAATCTTTTTATATATAAGGTGAGCCAAAAGTAACAAGGTGAATCTCTCAATTTCTCTATGAGCACTTACGGCTAAGACCTGTTTACTGCAAGGTACTCTACAATGCCACGTGAAATGACCTATAAAGATCAGAGAGCACTGACCAAGTAAATCAAACCCCTAATTGGAATATTGTTTGTGTTGACACAACCTTTCTTTCATGATAATAAACCTTAACGAGCTCATGGTGATCTCAAATTACGCATTAAATTAAACAGCAATTTGTGTGAACAAACATGTAATCAAACGTTTACGCAAGTACGTGCAAGGTAGATTCTTCAAAGTTCTATTAAAAAACAACTTGTTTTTCATTATAAATGTCTATAATCTGTCGTCTGAAGTGAAAAGAAAAATGTCGACCGGAAAACTCGTGGATCCTGTTTTTTTTATTACCGACGGTGAATCTCTATGGTTGTAGAGAAACAACGGATTCACCATTCGGATTTAGTGTTCTTTGCTGTAAATCCGTTTGCAAACGCAAAGCCAAGGCTCTCTCCCTCTCTTGTTTACCCGGCACGACCATAAATATTCGCACGTTGCAGTATTTACAAAGATCAAAATTGTGAACTGAAGTCTAACGCGCTAAGACTTTCCTCGTGTTCGCCTGATTCTCGGTTACTGGTTTCGTGTCTTAGATTCTTGCACTCATATACACGTGAGGATAAAAGGCATTCTCCTTTGTTTTTTTTTCAGGGCCGCTGCAATCGCGAAAAGCCCCCGTGCAAATACTTTCACCCTCCACAACATCTCAAGGACCAGCTGCTTATCAATGGTCGCAACCACCTCGCGCTGAAGAACGCCCTTCTTCAACAGATGCCGCTGCAGGCAGCTGCAACTATGTTACAACCTACAACCAATCCTGCACAAGCTGCTACAATGGTGAATATTGCTTTTCAGGTCACGGCGCATTATAGATGAATGTTTAGAGCACGCTTAGCCTGAAATAGTTCGTGTTTGTTGAAAAAGCTAGTTTTTGCTTTTTGAAACAGTTGCAGTTTATACAGAGCTTTTGATATATAAGGTGAAAGTTTTCAGCTCTTCTATAGTAACATGCGACATATGCTTCCTACTTTAGTTATGTATAATGCACACACTAACTATACGTGTACTACAGATTTTGGGTGCAGTTGTTGTAATTACTGAGCATTCGAATTCAATTAATATAAGTGTTCCTCTCAAATATTGACCAAAGTTAAATTTATGACTCTACATATTTTCGTGTAGCTCTCAAGTCTGGAATTTCAAAAATGCTGAAGACTTGTGGTTTGATGCATGCTATAGCACACAAAAGCCAAAATAATGGAACCATACATACGTGTAATATCATAATTTGTATTATTAATATTGTTATTACTACGAATAATAGTTTTATAGGTATATTTTTGCGACTCAGATTATAAGAAGGCATCTTATTCATGTTATGCTCATAAAAAATAGAAGTTTCCATTCTCGTTTAAATAGGTTTTATAGTGTATGGCTGGGCACTGCTGTGTCCAGGATTTCACAATGGCCACATCCGATGCTATTGTCGCCGTAAAAGCATTGAGTTTAAAAAAATAATGGTTCTATAAAATAACCAGTTGAATTTTTAATCTCGCGGTTCAAATTAATTTAGTCCTTAAACAGTTAGGCCGTCTCAAAGCTGCTTACGGGCTTCGTAGTCCAGAAGTTTTAAAACGTTGCATGTCAAAATTATCACTCACATTAAGCACCGCAACTAACCAAAACTTTCGCGCCAATTTAAAGAGCCTTAACCATTACATTTCACTTACCTGTTTAAAACGACAAGTTCTTGTTAATTCGTATGTTCATTACTTCTGCCGCACCATGTATGATCAAGGAGTCCGCTCGCTTTGGTATATTCTGCAGAGGCAACTTAATAGACTTTTAACATTATATTTTTCTTGCAATTGTGGTTGCGATCTTATAAACACAAATATATATACATAATTTAATGCACCTTTTAACTTAAAGGACATCATGTCCACGTCATGATGTCATTGAAAAAATAGAGTTATGCCACATGACCCTTACGCTTGTCAGATCAAACTCGTTGTTGTAATTGTACTTCAGTCTTATATATACTGCTACAAATTATCGGCCTACTATAGAGCAGATGTCAGATGCACGGCTAATCGGTAGATCGGTAGTTTAGTGCTACTTCAGATGGACAACGTTGCAGGGCTTGCGAATGCCATCTTTATTCTCTTAACATCTGTAAGCTCCCAGTGGTATCAAGTAGTCTGTGTACAGGAAGTTACATCAAGATTTACTAGAAAGCTATTTGGCTTTTTTCGTCATAACAATTCACTAAACTAAGCTACTAACAAATCTAAATCCATTTTTAGAACAACAAACAAGGTCTGCTTTGTGAAAACATATCCTTCCGGCGCTTTTCACCGTCAGCTTTTTTTTTTTTTAGAAAATCTGATCAATTCCATCAGAATGTCTTATTAGATGAAGATGACCTTAGCGTATTCGACGAAAAAAAAATTCGCGCGAAATATTCAAGACTGACCTTTTTGTTGCAAACGAACACTCATTCTCCTTTTTTTTTTTACTCTTTCCGTACTTCTTAGATAAATAATATATCGTAAACAACTAATGGAAAGATCTAAGAGTACTGAACTGTGGCTCTCGTTTTTAAAAACTGCGGTAGTTTTGGCATTGTTTATAATAAATGAAATACTTCAAATGTTCACTTTTTCGTTTTTGTTATGGCTGGCTTTATCTTAAATAGGGCCAAAGATTAACGTGACTGATCATTTATCGATATTCGATCTTTACCTCTTGATGACTTTTCAGTCAGTTTTAAGTTTCCTCTCTCTGTCATTATCCATAATTTATTTTCAAAGAACGGCCACAATGAAGCGTTTATAATAGATCTTTGAACTTTTACAGTGATATTCGGGCTACTCCTATAGATTAATGTTTTAAAAGTCACATATTGAATTTTACTGTGGACTTAGGGTCTTAGCATGTGGTAGCGGATTTGGGGCAGCAATAGCTGGATGCTAAACTTAAAGCGTTACTGGTGTGAATCTGCTGGATGTCGGAATATATGCACCCAACATGTACCTATAAAAAAATTATGTACTGTATTCGTTTGGTGTAATAGTGAGCAAGTAAAGAATGTCATGTAAGACCGTCAGGATTCGCCTGGCCTCATGACTGTGCCTGCGCGTGCTTTCAAGCGGGCTCAATGCGCAGCTCCAGCGCAACAACATAGAATGCTAGAATTTTTGAAACCTGTCCCACTAAAAAGCTGTGATAAAAGGCGTTATGACAAGAAAATGAGCCGGCGCTCTGACGTGGCTAGTATTTATGTACATACTGTATTTGTTTTTGGGTTAATTTCATTGCCATCTAGCTCGTGTGCCTGCATTAAAAGTAGAAGTTTGTTTTGTTGTCGAATGCGACTGACTGTGACACTGCTTATCCGTCCGCATTTTGCATCCTATCCTGTGAATTGGCTGAACTGGTCTGGTTTGGTGTGATCGCGACTTTCATAGGTAAGTCCGTATGCCGCTCTAGCCGCTTGGAGAATGCCCATTGCTTACAATACGACTGCACCCGGTACGCATTCTGCACACTCCACAGCTGCTACGGAATACTACGCTAAGGTAGGTCATCCATTCACTGATGATGCACCGATGTCCTGGTTTCACACTAACACTACATACCTCTTCATAGGAGATGTACATATACTACATATGCATACCAACGAGTTCGTTCGCCCCTAACAACTATAATGTAATGTAGCGTATCTACGTGACATCACAGAACAATGTTTTAAATGGATGATGTTTATGTTGATATTGAGATTTTGTGTTGTGGTTTAGGTGTACGTCTATTTTTGCAGATATTCGCTTGTATGCTTTCCAATACTTTGCTTTCAACTTTTATGCGCCCACCAACCCATTCGCACGTGTTGATTACGCACGAAATGTAAACGGTTATTATTATTATTCAAAAAACACACTGATGATACAAACAAAAAATGTACGAAATGTGTGAATAAAATAAACTGTATGACTAAACCTTTCATGTGCCGGCATTTCTAGGCGGCAAATCCATACATGCCTACGCTGATGGCATCTCCCTACCTGACAGGGCTTCTCCCGGGGATGGTGGCTACCGCAGCGGAGCCCACCGCCTTAATGACACCTACAACACTCATCTCGCCCCAGAAGAGGACTGATAGGCTTGAGGTAAGTGGACCTCGGCACTTAGAAAAAGTGTGCGCTGTGTGTAGTATACGAAATCAAATGATCGTCAAATCCAAATGCCCCAGTGCAGCGAACTGGTCCACGATCTCGTTCTTACCTAAGTCGGGGTGTCGTGCTCAAATTACACAAATAGAAAACTTGCAATTGCCTGTTGATTTGTCAGCCGTCACGTGCCACCTTGTCCAACAGTTCTCTACATAAGTGTCCTTCCCTTAACGAAAAGGTACTACAGGTGGTAAGAATGCTTCGTCTTCTGATTCTTTTTAAATAATGCGGTCTCTCTCTATATCTTTATGAACTATCTTCACTACATATCTTTCTTCATTATTCTTCATTATTACCAGCGCTTCGCAGCAGCCAGCTTTTACATGTTTCGCTCTAAATTGTCATGACTGTGCACTTTCGTTGGCTGATATCGAACGGTGTGGTAAGCGTGTTCGTACGCGTGTTGGTGGCACGGAGTTAATATCACAGGCCAATCCGTGACCACTTCGGAATTATTTCTATTATTGTTGCGAACAAATAAAAAAGAACTTTATGAACAAAAAGCTAGTAACCAGTCCACTGTTGCTTCAGCGTCGAATGATTACCGCTATTTGTTTTCACCCTTTGTAGGATTTTGTTTCCTATTATATTATTTTTGGCCAAATCTGCGCTAGAGGAAACGCTTTGTTTATATAAAGAAATGCCTCTTTGCTAAGTCAAATGTTCGGCTAATTCGCAATTAAAAATATCCCTTGTATTTAGCCTCAGTGCTAACATATTCGCCTTTATTCGATGTGGTGTTGAAGCTGCGGTGATCTCCATCGAAATAAGCTGCTGTCGCGTTCTTTTTTTCGTTCTGTGTCGTTCCTACTTCCAATAATTCCGTTCACTGTCATCCGTTGCCTATTCTATATTGATCTATAATCTATCCGTCCATTTAGGTGTGCCGTGAGTTCCAACGCGGTAGTTGCAAGCGAGCCGAACATGACTGCCGCTTCGCCCACCCGCCCGAGCACGTGGGCATTGAGACCTCGACCCAGGCCACCTCGGGCGGCTGTGATGTCACCGTTTGCATGGACTTTGTTAAAGGGCGCTGCGCTAGGGAACAATGCCGTTACTTCCATCCGCCCGCACATCTTCAGGCTCAGCTTAAGGCAAGGGTACGCGTAACTACCTCTGCAACCTCTTGGTCGGATTGAAAGGCAATTTTCTCTCTCCCGCTTTTACCTTTCAACTGTGCCGCTAACTATACTATGCCATCTACAATATAATTTTATCCACAACACACACACACATCCACCCACAAATTTCCATTGTGATTAAACGCATTATAAACATTCAAGCATGCACAAACGGTGCTAACAACAACAACAAAAACAACAGCAATAATCGACACAGACACTAATTCAGGATTTCTATATAGTTTTAGTCATTTTCTTAACTGTTGCGGAGTTCTTCTGGTTTTATTATACAAACATGCATGATATATTTCTTTATTTTCTTTATGGTGATAATTCAGTCTGCCCCAGGCTTCCAGGGATCGAGGCCCCTATGCGCCTATATGTTTTACTAAGAAAGCTAGATTTTTGACTCTAATAATATACGTATCGATGGCCAGCTGAGGCTCAATGATTGTTAAATTACTATAACTACCGCTCCATAATATCGGCTCATTGTGCGATTGGGCTTAGCGGGCATCAATATCATTACACTTCCTATCCATGTTGAAATCGATGCTTAAAGATTTCAGAACTTCTTATTTCTTTGCGTTCTTTAAATTTTTAGTTTTGATCGCATTTAAAAATAAGCGATTAATGATGAAACTAGCGAGCATCTGCATATGCAGCTGTCCAAACCTCTTTTAGTATCTAATATATTCATCTGAAATAAAAGTAGTGAAAGGACAACAATAGCTGTTGTTCTATATCCAAAGGATAGCAAGAGTAGTCCCTACTCTTTCCATCCTTTGGAGAGCCGGGATACCAGAAACTATGAGCTGTTGGGCTTTGACATTTTATAAAAGCTCTATAACAGAATGAAAGTAAACAATCTTAAACGCTTCCTTATAGAGTTCGAGAAAATAATATATATTATACAATAGTGCAATTAAGTTTCATTACTGCCGCGTATACGTGCCTTATGCTATACAAAAATGAACCGAAATTAATCGATGATGTATACTTAAATTAAAAAACACATTTTGTTTACTTGATGAATAAATATATATATGGTTCAATAAATGGTAACAAATAACCCAACCCTGTTATTTGTCAACCCTAAACTTCGTTGATGGGGTCAAACCAGCCGAAGTAAGGAACAAGGCTGCTTCTTACTAAGATGACTCTCAAGAAGCCCTTAACTCACGATTGAAGTAAGGAGCAAATATTGAAACACCTAAATGACATTTGAAGGCAAAAAGAATATGATCCACTAATAGATTTGCTTAAAATGTAGTAGTCTTTAGAAAAGGGGATTAGCTGGAAAAGGAAATATTTTCTTCTCCAAGGGTGGTTAACGGGAAGGCCCAAAGCAGTCATTTCGCACAAGCTGAGCCTTCACTTAAGGCGGGGCTCCTTGTTGACAAGTTTATAGAAATATATAGACTTTATAAAAAAAAATACAAGAAAAAGTCGTTGAAACGAGCATCTTCTATCTTTGATATAGTGGGTTTAGGTGTACTTATCGCATATAAGAAATGGCTATAACAGATTCTAATTATATGTACATTTTCGTGAGAACAGCGAATACCTGGCTTTTTCCAGTAAACCAACAAAAGAAAAGCGAAATATGCTGAACGTTATTTGAGGCAGCCCAGACTTCCGTAGCGCAAATAGTCTTTTAGAATTCTTAAGCTTTAAGGAGAATCTAAAAGCATTATCTAGCTTTGTTTAACAATTTTGCATGTGTATGATTTTTTTTATTTCTAAGAGAAAATCATGTTTATTAGTTTTTAAGCATAATGTCACAGATTTTGGTATCTCCTGCGAAGAATTACAGAAGTACAATATAGAAATCCTCGAGAGCGTTATTGGGAACGTTTATGCACGCACACATAGAACCCTTTTTGCCTTTTTTTACTTTCACACTTTGCTCAAAAATCTCCATAACGCGACTGGTCTATAAAACATCTGCCTCTTCTGCTATAAAATAGGCAAAGTTGACTTCGAATTTATGCGAAGCTTTTCAGTAATTAAATACTTATTTTTCTTAATTATCAAATGGTTTCCAATAACTTACGCCCACAGGGATATAATCATGTTTACTAGTAACACAGTTAACAGCAATCATAGTAATAACAACTAAGGCTTAAGTAATCTGCACCAGAAAAGTACACTGACTACCACATAAGGCATGGACACTAAGAAACAGGCGCACATGTACACACACATATTTACATGTAGAAATACACTTAATTAATTGTATATGGATGTCGTGCTGCTGCTTATGCGGCCTCCTAATGGCGGGGGACGCAACTGTCGCTTATTCGTCAGAAAGCGCATCTGCAATCAATCATCATTTGCAATTATCATTTACAATCTGAAGTGTGCGGATACTGGATGCCTATTTTGATGGTGGTGCCGATTGTGGCTATGTCTGCCCCTGTTTCACTTTCATTGGTTTGCCCTTCCCCAATTTCCTTAAGCGTGATAAGTTTCGAAAATCCAAGCTATGGCCATTTCGTCGTTAGCTTATCGTAATATAGGGCTTGTTGTTCAATCATTATTTGATCCCATGGACACGTTCTAATTGCTACACGTTTGTTGTACGTATACTTTTTTCCCTATGCACAGGGACACATCGTTATTTTTGCCGCTATTGTGGTTGCCATTGCTGTTGTCGCTGCTAATGCTGCTACTATAGAGGCAAGCAAGCAGTCGCTAGTGCAGTTGCTGTCGCCGTGGCCAGTTGACCACTATAACTTCTGCATAAACTTCTCGCTCTATATATAGCTACAAGGCCATGCAGATTGAAAATGAATCACACGGTGATTCCATTGATTCACGTCCTAAGGCATGCAATAACCTGAGTTTACCTGAGTCACCTGGAAAGGTGGCTCACATGACAAAATGCTTGCACGACCCACGAGTAACTTCATAAATAATATAAAGCTAATCTGATATACTGAAAAGACGAGGTACTGGCATAAAATTCTATGCTTTAGTGTTCTTTCTATGTATATAATTGTAGGTAAAACTTCAAAAGATGACTTGCCCAACCACTATCAGATAGCTTAATTAGAGACCTCTCAGCTTTAACATAGCATAACTACTTTATTATGCCATCGCAGCAATTGTCCTACAAACGATGAGATTTTTTTAAATTTTCATAATTTTTTAGTTTTTGTTTTTTGGGTATCCTCATAGTATCCGAAAAAAACACCCGAACACTTTTACGAGTGTTATTATCAGTAGTGATACTCTTTGCCTTTCGGTATCTCAATATATATTTCTAAATTATTACAGTGATGATAATAACCTGTGAGTCCGACACGTTTTGTGAGCGAAGTATTGTTTCAAGTCAACATCAGACTACTTTGAGAAGCCCTTGAAGTGCGTCGAGATTGATTCTCTTCTCTGAATATATATACTCCTGCTCCCTACTCCTTATGCCTGTTGTGTATATGGTAAATTTAAACCTTAGACGTGTGTGCTTAAGAATTATATTGTCGTTTGAATGTGTGGTGTATCCATTTAGCAAATTGGTCCCCAATATATATTATTTTTCTTAATCCCACTAGCAATGTTTCCGATTGTTTTAAAATTCATTTCTTCTGTTCCAAGTTGAATAATTAAAAAGAGGAACATATACGCATATTTCTTCGAAGAAAGATAACTGAATAGACTCTTTCAAAAACAGGTAATGCAGGTTTCCGTAAACATTTAAAAAAATCTGTAGAGAAAGTAGAATAGACTGTGTGTGTTTGCTATGCATTTTTTGTTGAGGTAATTAAATTAATAAGTAGACGTTGATTTGTGCAAAATATTAATCTAACATATACTTTTTTTATCGGCGCGCCTGCCCCTTGGTACGGTCGCGCAGGACCAGAACAGCCTGCAGCAGACGCCTGACTCCGCCGGACTCACCCAGGTATGTACAGCTGAGACCCATGCGATTCAAATCAGCTACGTATTTCTATCTGCCTGAGAATTCGTGCTATTGACCCTAGGACCGATTTAACGAACTCCCTGCATCTAAATAAAATCATAACATTCTAGTATAGTACAACTGTAGCTTAATAAATACCAGTCTTCATTAGAACGGCACCACACCCACTAAGTACGATTCTCCTCTTCGTTTCGATTTCAGACCTAATATTGGTAAATTCTTGAATACATATAAGAATTTTGAGGTACCTTTTTACTGTAGCCTAGTAGAGGGGCAATATGAGGCTCTTTACGTTAGCTAAAAATGATATTTCACTACGAATTTTTGCTTTCGCTTCTACACAAGTCAAGTATTATTTAAGCTATATATACGGAATAGGGTAAGGTGCATCTAGAATAAGCTTTGTTATTACTATGTGTAACTTTTTGTGTGGTGTATTTTATTATTAAGCCAATTGGCACAACTACCTTTTCACATATTATGAAATATCTTCAAACGTTATATCTATCCTAGTGTCACCAGGCCCATATGAATTTGCTTCGCTTTGGCTTACACAGAAATAAAAGCGCTTGCACCTCTGAATCATTGATGAACGCTATTGTGTCTTGAGTAAACTTTTAAACTTGGCTTTAATGTTTGTGCCTTGAATAGTAATTTTAATGAGAAAGAATAACACTATTTGTTTTGTACCGATTTTACAATTATAAAACCAATAAAAATTCTAATCAAATCTAGGGCCTTTGTTTTATTGAATTTTACTAACGAAATTTGATAGTATTGGTGAAATACATATATTATGTTATACTTGTTGGATTATAATTGGATACGAGTACTAGATGCCTTATTTATTGCTATATCTGATAATAAAAATAATGGTAAAAAATTATAAGTCTTATAAATGACATATACGTTGTAAGGATCCCACTGTCGTCAGTTAGGTTTGCTTTGCTAATCAGCTTTGCTTATATATATATATATATATATATACACATATATATGACCTGAGTATTAATAAGCCTGGTTAATTGCTTTCCAGAATAGAGCCATTGAATCTTAGCTTATGATCTTTAATAGTCATAAAAAGGACACCTTCGTTTATAATGATAATAAGAAACTGACCACTAGTATTAGTAATATAATCCCGATGACGATGCTGATACTTTTATTACTGATGCTGTGATATGCCGCTTCAGCCGTTGCTCTTTTTGTGCGCGTGGTGGTGGATCTCGCTGAGCTGCTTGCATCTCTCACTACCTGTTAATGGTGCTACTATCGCTGCTCGCTTTCTGAACGATTTCTTAAGCTGAGTGAACTTTCTATCTGTACCTGATTCTTTTACGCTCCGCCTCTCCCAAAAATCATAGTCATTTTCACAACCAGTGCAAGAAGCTTATATTCAAAACGAGGGGAACACGGAAAAGTCATCATCTAATTATATATGGCTATACACGAATAGTGCTCCACGTATTTTTTGCTGCTATTGCTGCTGCTGCTGCTATCGCTGCTGCTATTGCTCTCGCCGCCGCCGCTGCTGCTGCTGAACGCCAATGCCACTAATTATTCGCTTCATGCATAGTCGCAGCTTAAACTAATATTAGACAAAAATGTACTAGATGTCGCTCTTAGCCTCTTAAGTTGTTCGCACCATCAGCGGCGTCTGGCCGCCATTGCTACCAAATTTAGATTTAGAGATCACATACGTACAATGTTCGTACATGGTCTCGAAATTATTGTGGCCTTACTAACCAGGCTAACTTCGTGCTTTTATTAAATGTTTCATTGCTTACCATAGATAACTTGGTAGTAGGTCGATCTGCTCGTTTTTAATTTTTTCCCACCTCAGCGAACAGGTATTGAATCATTTTAACTTCTTCTAGCTCTTGTTTTTTAGTTTGTTTTTAGTTTGATCTTTTTTTTGAAGTAAACGTCACCTTAAAACAAACATAGCGTAATAATAATTTAGTTTTAATTATTATTGCTGATTATATTTTATATTAATATAGATTTTAAACAATTTAGATAGTTGCAACTATCTAAATTTCTTTCGTTTTTTTTTTTATCAATTCAATGAATATTTTTCATAACTTTGACTTTACAAGCCGGTTTTAAAACAGGAATTAATTAATTGAGTTAGTTCCACCATAAAAATTTGTTCATTTGGAACTCAGTCTTAATCTTTACGTCCCAGGTGTTCCAAATCTGCAACCTTGGAATACAAATCTTAAAATTAACACATTTTAGGTGTACTAATGGTAGATGATCAAAGTACAATCCATCAAAATCTTTCTACTCAATGTTCGAGTTAATAATACCTTCGTTGGTGAAATCAATGTTCTATATTATCATGGTATCGCTAGACTAAGCGATCGCAGTGCTCACGAACTATGATGAGTTCCACTACTCATTCATTCTTACATTTGGTGTACGTGTGCCATTATGTGCCTCTTTCTTGGCTTTTTCCATTTGACCCTCCCTCTAACCTTTTTCGCCCCTTCTTCCTTTTTCTAGAACTTTGAGTTTATTTGTTATAGTTTCGTAAAGTATTATATTAATATAATTATTGTTTTATAGTTGTAATTATTATTATTATTGTTATTATTATTATTGTTGTTATTCCTCTGATGATTTCGTTGTTTGATTTAGCATCCGTCGGCCGTGCCCGCAAGCAGCAGCGTCGTGCCAACGATGCCTTCCTCGATGCCGACTCTTTCGTTGAGTCCGATGAGCATGGCTGCGATGGGCGGCTATCCCTCCGCCCACGCGCATGCCCACGCCTCACTCAACCCCCAGCAGCAGGCCCAAGCCGCTCAGGCCGCCCAAGAAACTTAGCAGAGAACACTTGTTTAAGTTTTAACAACTTTTCTGTGTGAGGGAACTCTATCCTGAGACTTGGCCAACGAGAACTTCTTTGAGTTTTAACAAATATAATGCATGTAAGGTTCTGTTTTGAAATATAGCTAAAAAGATTTCCTTGACTTTTAACAATTTCGTTGTATGCGGAAATTTTGTCCTGAAACTTGGCTAGAGGAAGCTTGTTTGAGTGTTAGCAACTTTTTTTTGTATGAGGAAACTCTGTTCTGTGAGTTGACCAATAGGGGACTTTATTAGAGTTTTACCAACTTCTTTATGTGTGGAAATGTTGTCCTAAAGCATGGCCAGAAAAAACGTTTGTTTTAACTACTTCTTTGTATGTGGAACTTCTGTCCTGAAACTTAGCTAGAGAACACTTGTTTAAGTTTTAACAACTTTTCTGTGTGAGGGAACTCTATCCTGAGACTTGGCCAACGAGAACTTCTTTGAGTTTTAACAAATATAATGATGTAAGGTTCTGTTTTGAAATATAGCTAAAAAGATTTCCTTGACTTTTAACAATTTCGTTGTATATGGAAATTTTGTCCTGAAGCTTGGCTAGAGGAAGCTTGTTTGAGTGTTACAACTTTTTTGTATGAGGAAACTCTGTTCTGAGACTTGGCCAATTTGGGACTTATTCGAGTTTTAACAACTTATTTGTATGTGGTAATGTTGTCCTAAAGCGTGGCCAGAAAAAAACGTTTGTTTTAACCACTTCTTTGTATCGTTCTGAAACTTAGCTAGAGAACACTTGTGTTTAAGTTTTAACAACTTCTTTGTATGTGAAATGTTGTCCTAAAGCATAGCCAGAAAAAACGTTTGTTTTAATCACTTCTTTGTATCTTTCTGAAACTTAGCTAGAGAACACTTGTTTAAGTTTTAACAACTTTTCTCTGTGAGGGAACTCTATCCTGAGAGTTGGCCAACGAGAACTTCTTTGAGTTTTAACAAATATAATGCATGTAAGGTTCTGTTTTGAAATATAGCTAAGAAGATTTCCTTGACTTTTAACAATTTCGTTGTATGCGGAAATTTTGTCCTGAAGCTTGGCTAGAGGAAGTTTATTTGAGTGTTAGCAACTTTTTTTTGTATGAGGAAACTCTGTTTTGTGACTTGACCATGGGGGACTTTATTGGTTTTACCAACTTCTTTATATGTGGAAATGTTGTCCTAAAGCATGGCCAGAAAAAACGTTTGTTTTAACTACTTCTTTGTATGTGGAACTTCTGTCCTGAAACTTAGCTAGAGAACACTTGTTTAAGTTTTAACAACTTTTCTGTGTGAGGGAACTCTATCCTGAGACTTGGCCAACGAGAACTTCTTTGAGTTTTAACAAATATATATGCATGTAAGGTTCTGTTTGAAATATAGCTAAAAAGATTTCCTTGACTTTTAACAATTCGTTGTATACGGAAATTTTGTCCTGAAACTTGGCTAGAGGAAGCTTGTTTGAGTGTTAGCAACTTTTTTTTGTATGAGGAAACTCTGTTCTGTGAGTTGACCAATGGGGGACTTTATTAGAGTTTTACCAACTTCTTTATGTGTGGAAATGTTGTCCTAAAGCATGGCCAGAAAAAACTTTGTTTTAACTACTTCTTTGTATGTGGAACTTCTGTCCTGAAACTTAGCTAGAGAACACTTGTTTAAGTTTTAACAACTTTTCTGTGTGAGGGAACTCTATCCTGAGACTTGGCCAACGAGAACTTCTTTGAGTTTTAACAAATATAATGTATGTAAGGTTCTGTTTTGAAATATAGCCAAAAAGATTTTCTTGACTTTTAACAATTTTGTTCTAAGTGGAAATTTTGTCCTGAAACTTAGGTAAAGGAAGCTTGTTTGAGTGTTAACAACTTTTTTGTATGAAGAAACTCTGTTCTGAGACTTGGCCAATTTGGGACTTATTCGAGTTTTAACAACTTCTTTGTATGTGGTAATGTTGTCCTAAAGCGTGGCCAGAAAAAAACGTTTGTTTTAACCACTTCTTTGTATCGTTCTGAAACTTAGCTAGAGAACACTTGTGTTTAAGTTTTAACAACTTCTTTGTATGTGGAAATGTTGTCCTAAAGCATAGCCAGAAAAAACGTTTGTTTTAATCACTTCTTTGTATCTTTCTGAAACTTAGCTAGAGAACACTTGTTTAAGTTTTAACAACTTTTCTCTGTGAGGGAACTCTATCCTGAGAGTTGGCCAACGAGAACTTCTTTGAGTTTTAACAAATATAATGCATGTAAGGTTCTGTTTTGAAATATAGCTAAGAAGATTTCCTTGACTTTTAACAATTTCGTTGTATGCGGAAATTTTGTCCTGAAGCTTGGCTAGAGGAAGCTTATTTGAGTGTTAGCAACTTTTTTTTGTATGAGGAAACTCTGTTTTGTGACTTGACCAATGGGGGACTTTATTGGTTTTACCAACTTCTTTGTATGTGGAAATGTTGTCCTAAAGCATGGCCAGAAAAAACGTTTGTTTTAACCACTCCTTTGTATCTTTCTGAAACTCAGTTAGAGAACACTTGTTTAAGTTTTAACAACTTTTCTGTGTGAGGGAACTCTATCCTGAGACTTGGCCAACGAGAACTTCTTTGAGTTTTAACAAATATAATGCATGTAAGGTTCTGTTTTGAAATATAGCCAAAAAGATTTTCTTGACTTTTAACAATTTTGTTCTAAGTGGAAATTTTGTCCTGAAACTTAGGTAAAGGAAGCTTGTTTGAGTGTTAACAACTTTTTTGTATGAAGAAACTCTGTTCTGAGACTTGGCCAATTTGGGACTTATTCGAGTTTTAACAACTTCTTTGTATGTGGTAATGTTGTCCTAAAGCTGGCCAGAAAAAAACGTTTGTTTTAACCACTTCTTTGTATCGTTCTGAAACTTAGCTAGAGAACACTTGTGTTTAAGTTTTAACAACTTCTTTGTATGTGG